AAAAGTTTTCTAACTTTTCTATATAATTCTAGACAAACACATACCAGTGCGTGTTGGCCACGGATGAGATCCGGACGTACGCTATGTTTAATTACGAACAAATCCAGTGGATTACCCATCAGGACAAATACGAGGGTCTCAAGGGGTCGGCAGCTTATGTAAGTCCCGGTGTTTAGAAGTTTACCCATAAATCCTAATTAAGGGTTATATAGTAAATGCATTTATAATTATAGGTGGGTTTCAACGCTGGTAACACTACCCGTACCTACGAGTTCAAGCCGTACTCACAAAACCCTCGCATATCATACCTGACCACCCGGGGCTGGGGTAACGGTCTAAAAGGGCGTTATTTTTTCCAGATCGACGAGGAGGTGTGGCCGGGCGCCTGTATCGAGAAGGACTTGGACCCTTTCTTACCCGATCGACTACCCCTTACATTTTTCCCGCGTGTGGGCGCTATGTTAGGCGGCACCATGGTCAACTTCACCGGCCCCTGTCTACAGCCCACGAGTATAATAACGTGTCAATTTGACAACTGGCAAACACCAGGCATATACAGGGACTTCAATCACGCCACCTGTATCACACCCCCTGTAATGTACCATGGTTATGTCGATTTGACCATCACCGTAGATGATAGGACCCTGTTCCTGGGCAAATATTACATACGTACGTTGTTTTTGGGTTATATCTATAGGGATTTTTACTAACATTGTATACTACCTGTGCCACAGAGCCCCCGGACATCGCCGACGACGACATCGTGGTCTTAGAAAACGCCGACCGACTGGAAGAGCCGCTGAGTCTGGATATCAAGTGGAAGATGCATAAACTGGGTTGGGATGAGAACGCCCGGGTGACCATGTCGTTGTGGGGGTACAGGGAGACTGGAGATGTATACCCGCACCTCACGTACATCGACACGTTAGGAGACGCCGGTTCGCTACGGTTGGGCCAATTGCGGACATCCATCGACCCTAACCTCTACAGAGACCGCAAGAACTACAAGATGAGTGACATTACGTTCGGCTTCATTGCCATCAACTTAACTGATCCGACAATTCTGGGCAAAGACATCAAACAGTCGCCCACCATATGGTCGCGCCCTATGCCGCTG